ATGGCATTGTGCTATGAGACATTTTGAAGCCATATACAGAGATACCCATAGCCCCTCAGAGGAATGTTATATATCTGAGGTGTTGACATAGCACAACATTTTAAAGCTGGAAGAGATCTTAGTGGTCATCTGGTCCTACACTGTTATTTTGCACTTAGGCTAGAGGTCAAATGAGTTGCCCAAGGTCACACATTAGCAATCCAGGACTAAAATCCAGATCTTCTGAGCTCTAGTCCAATATTTTTTTCTCTACCTCTAGCTCTCTGAGAGTGAACAACCTTATGGGGATGAAATAGGTACAAAACTATGTGTTCCCCCATTCCTACCATGTGATGACTCTATATCGTGGCAATATAGACAGCCAATAAGCATGTTTAAATGTTTATTATTAAATCTACCATAAGCTAATATAGAGGCATAGGACCTCAAATCTGGAAGGGACCTCAGAGGTCAACTAATCTGGTGTATATCTGAACAGAAGTAGGTTCCACATGATTCCTAATACCACTTGAAAACCTCTAGTGACAGGAGGCTAACTACTTCCCAAGCCAACCCATTCTACTCAACTCTACTTTTTAGGAAATTTTTTTCTTATATTGAGTTGAAGTCTAATTCTTTGTAAATTTTATCTATTGCTCCTAATTCTGGCCTCTGGAGTCATATGAAATGAGCCAAACCCATCTTCTACATGACATGCCTTCACATATTTGAAGTTGGCTATCAGGCCCCACCGGGCAGCTGGGTGGTACAGTTGATAAGACTGTCTCAGTCACTCTACTAGGCTTCAGACACTTACTAGATGTGTTACCCTGAACTAGTCACTTAACCCTATTTTCCTTAGTTTCCTCATCTGTAAAATGAGCTGGAGAAGGAAATGGTGAACCACTCTAGTATTTTTGCTAAGAAAACTCCAATGAGGGTCACGAAGAATTAAACATCACTGAACAACAGCATTATTATCAGGACCCACCTGGATCTTCTCTTCTCTAGATGATACATACCAAGTCCTTTCAAGTAATCTTAAGGCACTGTGTGTGCCTTCACTATCTTTTTTGCCCACCTTTGGACACAGATAAGAGTAGATCCTCCTTGCTTATCTAATCAATTTGAATCCTCAGTGAAACACAGAAATCCCCCATAGTACCTAGGTGCAATGCTCTGGGCATATCAACAGCATTCTATAAATGCTTTTGATTAAGTGTTAGATTGAAGGACTCTTCTTCCAGCATGAGAGACTGCCTCAACTGGATCAAATTAATTGATTATATCCACATACTTGTATTACAACTAATGCTCAATTGTGGGATATGGACTAATATTAGCCCAAGGGGTTGGCTCATGCTTAACATAGACTAAATACCCATTCCAGGTGGTAATGTACCTTTGATTTTGGGGTGTGTGTGTGTGTGTGTGTGTGTGTGTGTGTGTGTGGTGTGACTGTATCTTTCCCAATGGAGAAGGTATAAATTAAACTATTCACACTTAAAGGTCTTTCTTTCTTTCTTTCTTTCTTTCTTTCTTTCTTTCTTTTTTCTTTCTTTCTTTCTTTCTCTCTCTCTCTCTCTCTCTCTCTCTCTCTCTCTCTCTCTCTCCTCTCTCTCTCTCTCTCTCTCTCTCTCTCTCTTTCTTTCCCTGTTTCCTTCTTTCTCTCTTTTTCCCTTGAGTTTATCTTGCATTGAACATTAACCAACCCCTTAGACTAAAGTTGGACATTAGGCTATTGTTGTTTATAACATATATACATGTGTAAAGTTTCCAACCAAAAAAAGGCTAGAGTTAAAAGGAGTTTGGTCCCTGCTGGGTTGTTTCCTGGAGTTTATGGAACTATGCAGGACTCCACAGGGTAAATAGCAGCTTTGTCCCCGCCCCTGGGTCAGGCTCTCACAGTTGGAGTGAGGCTATGTTACGGTTCTGCTGACAACACTTTATAAAACACACACACACACACACACACACACACACACACACACACAATGTCGTAATTCATTAGAGAAATGAAAACTTTTGAGCTACAATAACTAGGACTTCATTAAAAAGACTTCTTCATGTTTGGGACCTTTTCAATTGATCAGCAGATGAACATATGTCCCAGTGTTTACAGACGTCTTGCAACCTTAGCCTGACAAATCTTTGCTACATTTGCATGCCAGAGAAGAGTCCTTCTCTCCAATGGCGATTATTTTTAACTCTTAGATTTACCACCTCTCTGTGGAATATATTCCTTTAGGGAAAGTACAATCCAAAGGGGTCAGCCGCTTGGCTCCTACTAAGGGGAAAACTCTGAAGAATTCCCACATCCCCTTGGGGTAGAGCCTGCTTTTCCCCAAAGAATAGGTCGTTCAAAGTGTCTTTGCCACATAAGGGCTTGTGTGAGGCCCTGGGCACCAGTTGACAGGGATGTCTATCCTCCACAACAGATGGTCAGGCTTTCGATTTCAGCAAGCAATCCATCGGGAGAGGGCCCTGAAGGGGCGGGCTCCACATTCTGCCAGCATTCCACACGGCAGGGGCAGCTTAGGGCAATTGGTATCTAGTGTCCATGCCCTTCATAACTTGCATGCTAAATGATGAGTTGCTGACAGGAGAGCCATCCAGGGACCCATCTCTCAAGTGTAAGATCTACAAGTACCTGCATTCTGTTTTTCTTTGGCAAGAATTAATGCCCTATTACTTGTCTTTCAAAATCCATTTTTGGCACCGGTGCAGACCTCCTCACGGTGGCAAGCAGTTGTCTGCCAGGGTTTGTGCTGACAGCTCCTTCTACCACAATCTGACTCTAACTGTCACAGCCGGGCTTTGGAGGCTTATACAGTGAATAGTGTACACTTGAGATGACCAGGATTTGGAGGGTCCACATGAAGGGAAATGTCAATGATTTCTTCCCACCATTATTTTGATCTTAAACCTTAGATTCCATCCTGCATCTCCCTCTCCCACTCCCCCATTCTCAACTTCTACCAAACATGTATTCTTACCTGTTCTAAGCTTGGAGTTGTGGGCCTTTTCATTTGGAATTGTTCCCTCAGTCAAATAGGTTTCTTTTCACATCTAAATTCATTAATCTAGCTTGGTTCTAATGTGATTTTTTTACAGGTACTGTGAGGTCAGTTTCTGTATTTCAATTTTCCTGGATTATGTACCCAAGTAACCCCAAGTAACCCCCCAACCCCTGCATGAAAGGGGTTTGTTCCAAGCCTGTTAGAACTGTGGCTGAGAGCTGTATGCAGAGGTAAGCCACTGGGTACCTGCTATATACAAAACCAGAGTATAGGGCCCCATGAAGACACTTATTATTTTTATCCATCCCCAAAACCTTTGACTTTACTATCCAGACCTCACCGGAAAGGAACCTGAGGTAATTAGTCTATCACTTATTAATCATCTTCTGCATGTAAGTGCTGCTGAGTCCACCACACATGTGTTTGTGTCTGGGGTTAGTGCCCACAGTCAAATTTCATTTTACACAGTTAGGTTTCAGTGGTGCCCGGCCAGTGGTTTATCTTGGACAAAAGGTTGACAAACCTTGGCTCCTGGGGAGAAAGCCTGGAAACTGAGATGGATTATTATTCAAAGGCCAGTTTTCATGGGTCGACAGTTGAGTGATGCATAATACAGAAGGAAATATTTTAGTCAAATGTTTACTTTTGTGTGCATGAGTGTGCGTGTGTGTTTGTATACTCTCATAGAAGTCAATGTCTTTTTTTAAAGAGGTATCTTTTTATTCCAGTTTTCTTTTAGTGAGCAAATCGGCAGAAAATGGAAAGTTTTTTTTTCTTTTAGGGAAATGATTTCATTGTTAGAAATCACTTTGACCTTCTTCATATCTGTTATACATCATCCTCTAATTTGTTAAGACTGTAGTCCATTGTTATTTCTTTCTTGAGATGATCAATTGATGGGTGTTGTGTTAATTTTTGAATTAAAATTTGGATTGTATGGTACCATGAATCCTCTGGACACATTTGTGTTGAAGTGAGACTTCGACATTGAGATAAACTTGAGGGCAAAATAAAAAAAGAAAACATTTTCACAAAGAGAAAATTCCATAGCTAGTATTTTATGTGTTCTGGTGCTTATGGAAAATACGTTTGAAAGCCTTTTGCTGAATCTCCCTGAAACATCTGTATTTCACAGTACTAGGGGGTAGGAGCATTTGGGACAACTCACAGAAATAGGTATTTTTCCCCCCAAACGTAGAGATTTTGGTTCCCTTGAAAGTGATTAGCTGTGGTTACATCTTATGTTGGTCTTTTCCATAACTGCAGTCTCTCCTGTGCTTACTTAACATCTGAGTCTGTGGCCCAGGCCATGATTCAGCAGAATTAAACCCCTGGGTTTCACTGTGGAGTCGATTCAGGGAGGAAAATGGTCTGAAAGAGGATTCTTCTTTGTTGAAACTTACATAGCTTTTGTCAAGGGCCTATATCCTAAGAAATTACACAGGGAAGATAGGAAAACATAGGTGACCTTGTGTTAAAGCCAGCAGGCCAGTTTCTCCACATGTAAATCCCCATGAGTATTTGTGGGGTTCTGATAATCAGCCTAATTTATTCAGTGTAGTTGTTTGGGTAAATACGCTTACCGAGAATTTATATTCATGGTGTATATTTTGCCAGATATTCATCTTTTGTGAAATTAGAGGGAACTGCCTCATATTACTACAAATATTCTGGTTTAGGGAATCTTGGGAAATTCTTGTACAATGAATATCTGTCTTAAATTACAGCAAAATTTTTACTCCGAGTTTGGGGTTTATTTTTGCATTCTTCTATAAGATCTGCTGGTAGTCCTGGAAATTTTGCTTCCATGAAGATGGTTCAGATTAGATCCAACAAAGAGGTTAAAGCTGCCTACGTGAAATGTTGGCTGTAATAAGTTAGTTTATGTTTATTTCAGGAAATGCTGGAACATGGTATACTCTCCTAAAAATGTCTTGTACCTGTTTTTTTCTTTTGTTGCCAAGGTGTGTGATGCTGACCAAGACATTTGTTTCTCCACAGGTTCTTCTTGAAATTTTTCCTCAAATGTAACCAAAATTGCCTAAAAAATGCAGGAAACCCTCGGGACATGCGGAGATTCCAGGTGAGTGTACCACTTTAAAATGTGACTCACAAGATGATGGTTGACTATGATACTTTAAGGGATTCTTGATCTCATTAATAAAGCATTCCTTCCTACTCTCAATATTGTAGCCCGTTCACACTTTCTCATCCTGTATGACTCCTGTTCATGTCCCTCTATACATTTTCCACAGGAGGACCTTCCTTTATTGGGGGCTTTCATCTCTTCAACTTGCCTGGATGCCATTAGAGCCTGTAGGCTGTCCATCCTTTGCTTACTCTACAAGACCAGGCCAATTATCTGTATAACTGGAAAGCGAGGCACCCTGGTTCTTTGGCAGTGCTCTTTCCACTAATTTTCCTGCACAATTCTATAATTCTCATCATCATAACAATAATAATACCTATATAATATATATATATATAATATATATATATATAATATATATTATATATATATATATATAATATATATATATAATATATATATAATGCTTTAAGGTTAGAAAGCCCTTTACATATGTTAACTCATTTTATTCTCACAATAACCCTGTGAGGTAGATGCTATTATTATTCCCATCTTACAGATAAGGAAACTGAGGCTGAGAAAACTTCAGTGACTTACCTAGGGCAGCATAGCTGAGTATGTATCTAAGGCAAGATTTGAACCCAGATCTTCCTGACTCCAAATCCATTGCTCCATCCATTGTGTCACCTTGCTGCCTCTGTAGGCAGCCTACCCAAGGCCACCATGTGTCTCTCTGTTTCTTTAGATGATGCACCATTTTAATTCTTTAGAGACCATAGCTTGCAGCAGTACAGCACTGTTGGAAGAGTGGGAGATGGGCCTTTGTTTTAGAATAATGCTTGGGTTTATTAAAAGCACTATAAGATTTCCCCAAATGCAATCTTGGTTATGAGTTTCTCCCAGCCCTTCTCAATTCCAGCAAGTTGAAAGTCTTTTCGGGAAGGAGACATCATTTACTAACTTTCTGCTCCCTTGCATAGGTAGTGCTCCAGTAGGCAGGCAACCTGGAGGGAGAATAAATCCTGTCCCCTGGTCCAGTCCTGGAGCATTTTAACTTGAAAGTCATATCTTCAGAACCCTTTGAAATTTCCGAACCATATACTTTTTATGAGCCTTCCTAGATAGGGTAAGGCAATGATGCCAAATCTTTTTTTGGCCATACAGATAAATGGTTTGGTCAGCATACCAAGAAAACCTCTATGGGTTAAATAAAGTTTATGAGCTACTGAAATGGTAGCCTCTTTTCCAGAAACCTATGTCTATTGAAAAGTAGTCTACACTCTAACTCTGTTCCAGCCTAGAAAATATTCTGTCCCAGAACAATGTAAAAATGTATCTCTTGAGGGGCAGGTAGAGATGAGGAAGATAACATTATAAGATGCAGGTTAGACAGCTTCTGAGGTTCTTGCTGACTTAGGGGATAGGATTGGGTAGTAGGTGACTCTAGTCTTTTGGCATTCACTTTCTCTCATTTTACTGCTCACTTTTTCATGATGTTAGGTCAATGTAGATGTCTCAGTTTCTTCATTTGAGTAATGGCTAATAATAATAATATAAGCATTCCATAAAGGTTTAAGAGGTGAAATTGCAACCATATATATGGCATATTTTTAACATCCCCTTCAGCATTAACTGCTTTTTTTTCGTGGTTTTTGCTAATATTAGCTCGGCATTAGTTTTACAATTGTGAATAGAAGCGTGTGATCACTGAGAGGCTCCTGGATAGCCCTGGCAGTATTCATAGCCTGAATTCTAAGGGGACATAAATGATTAGGTAGCTCTGAGCAAGTAGAAAAAAATACGGAAGTAGGAATTAGGAGACTTCTTTTCTAGTCTTGGTTTTATCACTGATATGCTGTCTGACCTTGGGTAAATCACTCAGCTACTCTAGGGTACAGTTTCTTCATCTGCAGAATGATGGAGCTGGGCTAGATGTCATCAGATGTCCCATCAGACTCAGGAATTATATGAGTATCTGATTCTCAAGCCCTGTAGAGAAGACTGGAGATGTGTCCCCTACTAATCCCCTAGGATGACATCTTGCTAATAGCTTTTGAAATCTCAAAAGAATGAGAAGAAGTAGAAAGTCAGATAGCATCTCTCTAAGTATTTGGTCCCGACCGTGAAGTTCCCTTGGCTGTTCAGGCTTTTCTCTTAAGACTTAACAGAAAGTATCAATCAAGGTAAAGGTTTTTGGAAGAAGAGCCCCCTTGTGGACCATGCCAAAAAAATGGTACAGCAGAAACTTCCTCTCCTGTAAGATTTTCTTTTTTAAGATTAGAGGCTTCTGCTTAGCATTAGGCCTAGTTTTTACTCAGTTTGATAAAGCAGCTCAAGGAACTGTTTTCCCTTCTATCACTTGTAAAATACAATTGCCCAATATTTTGCTAAAGAAACAAAATTGAGTTTTCATATAAAACTTCTTGCTAGCTCAGTAAGCCCTTTGGATAGATTCCACATCTCACTTGAATATGCTTGGGCTGGTTATAATAATAACTATAGTCATGATGATGGTAGCTAACAGGATGCTTTAGAAGATGCAGTTCAACAAACAGGGTTTTTTTTTTTAAATGCCTACTTTGTGCCAGGAGCCCACAGTCTAGTACGGCAATTGCACAGGCACATATGTGACTATTGCTCATGGTTCAAGCCTAAATCATTTACATACAAATCATTTATGAATTAAATAACTATAATAATATAAATTAAGAAGTAGATTTGGAATACCTGGATTAATGTTGCGGTACTTGTTAGGATCTTAAATTTGTGAATGCTTTTGAGTGACATTGGGAGACTGTGTATCTATAAACTACTTTCAACAGTTACCTTGCCTTCTGAAAACTGAAAGCAGGGATGGTCAGCTGTTCAAAGACTAGAGAACCTCAGTGCATAGGAAAGCATTTCCCACCCAAGCTGGAAACCTATCTTCTTCTTCTTCTCCTTCTTCTTCTTCTTCTTCTTCTTCTTCTTCTTCTTCTTCTTCTTCTTCTTCTTCTTCTTCTTCTTCTTCTTCTTCTTCGGTTAGGCAATGGAGTTAAGTGACTTGCCCAGGGTCACATAGCTAGTAACTGTCAAGTGTCAGGTTAGATTTGAACTCAGGTCCTCCTCAATCTAGGGCTGGTGCTGTATCCATTGCACCACCTAGCTGCCCCACTAGAAACCTATCTTAAGATTGCATGTCCACGATTATTTAGAATGTCTGGATAGCTTTGCAACTGTGGAATACTTAGTAGTCATGAATTTTTTCCCCCTAAAAGGGTACTTCTGATAAGCTAAGAAAGATGTCAGTACTGGAATTTCCTGTCAATTTGGAAAGGCTTCCAAGTCAGGGGACTATTGTCTTTCTATTACCCAAGGACTACCCTAGCTGGGTTCCAAAAGTTTGCCCAATAGGTGAATTTCTTTTGGCTACTGCAACCCAGTGAAAGGTGGATGAACTGGGAGTGAAGAAAACAGGGTTTGGATTTCAGGTCTTCTGTTTAATAGTTGTATGGCCTTGGGCAAATCACTTAAGTTCCCTGAGGTTCAGAGAACTTAAGTGTTAAATATAGATAATTAACCCTACCCTGCCTACCTCCTATTTAATATCAAATAAGCTAGTAGATATGAAAATGTTTTAGATTATAAAGTGCTATATAAACAGAAGACCTAATTATATTATTATTGTATCAGCATCCTTTATAACAAGAATTCTTGATCTTTTTTTGTGTCATGGATTCTTTTGGCAGTCTGATGATAATGTTAACAGTAATAATAATAATAATAATAATAATAATAATAATAATAATAATAATAATTATGATGTTGATGACAGCTAGCATTAATGTAGTACCTACCATGTGCCAGGCACTGTGCTAAGTGCTTTATAAATATTATCTTGCTGATCCTCATGACAGCCTTGGGAGGTAGGTGTTTTATTATCCCCATTTTACAGTTGAGGAAACTGAGACAAACAGAGGTTAAGTGACTTGCTCAAGTAAGTGTCTGAGGTTGGATATGAACTCAGGTCCTCCTGACTCCAGGCTAAGCACTCTATCTACTGTATTACTTAACCTACCCTTTCTCAGAAAAATATTTTTTAAATGCATAAGATGAAGTACATTGGATTACAAAGAAAACCAATCATACTGAAATGCAGTTATGAAAATATTTTTTTAAGTTCGAGTTAAGTTTAAGCCCAAATTAAAAGCCCTTATTTTATATATTTAGCATATTAATTATCATTCTTACATATAATTTCTGTTGTTTTTATCATTATTTCATTCAATTCCTTTACTCATAAGACCATTGGCTCATAGATTATGGTTCGTATATTCCAAGCTGGAAGGGACCTTAGAGTCAACAGAGTCCAATCTCACCAGTGGAGAAACTGAGGTCCAGAGAATTTAAATTACTCCTCCAGGGTCACCTAGGTGATAAAAGTGGCAGAGGTGTGATGCAAATCTTCTTCCTCTGACTCTGCACCCACTGTTCTTTCTTTTCTGCCATTTACATTTCCCAATTTTGCTCATTTTGCTTCTCTTTGCTCTGGCATAGTATTTAACCTTTATCCAATTCATATTGATTATTACCATTTTTTGACTAGAGCTCTTTGGCCTTCTTGAAAAATTTATTTCCCCTGTCTATAGCTTAGCCCAGATTTTGGATAAAGGTCCCTGCCATGTGAGCAAAATGAGAACCAGGTAGATAATGAATAGAAGTGCATGCATTTTTATATGTTCAGTCTATGATTAAGTTAGCTCCATTTTATTGATTGGGTGACTCAGGCCCTAGGACATTCAGAAGCTTCCTTAACATCATGTAGGCATTACTGGCATATCTGGGGCTCCTGTCTTTTCTCTTGACCCCAGAACAAGAATGACTTCTCATAAATATGTGTTAGAATCTACCAAGAAGCCAGAAAGAGATTTTAACATATCCCTACTTCCATCAGGATTAGCTGATTACATTTTTCTCTTTGTACTGTAAATGGCGAGCTGGAATCAGCTGACTGC